ACAAAGCAGAATATCAACACAAAAAAACAGTCATTTGGTGACTGGTAGACAGAAACAACAGAAGCTCAGAAAGTAAGACTCAGTGTTTTTACAACCCCATTAATACGATTTAAATAATTTAGTAGGAGGGCTTCGGACCCTACCTGTCAGGGCCAACCTGGAATGAGAAGGATATATCCCAGCAGAAAGACCGAGATACTAAATAAAAAATGTTCTCCCTACTAGAGAATCGAAGTCAGGTCTCCTGCATGTGATAAGTGATAGTGGCCAATCACCACTACACCACAGACACAAGCTGATCCTGCCTGTCAGAGGCAACCCCAGCTGAGAGGGGTATCACATCGCGGCAGACAACACTCGATAAATAACTTCCCCATTGAGATATCTCTTCTCCTGCCAGCAACTGCAAAGTACTTTACCATTACACCAATGACACTGTCCCTTATTAAGGAAAGCCCACTACATGGTTGTGGAAAATTTCTTGAAAGATTAACCCTCTGGTGCCAGGTATGGACATAACTGGATACCAACACTCATTGTGAGTACAAAATTCACAGAGTCTCGTTACTGAATAATGTCACACATCTTTTTTTTCCCTCTGAACAAGATCAATCCTACACTATTCGAAAACTGCTATTTATAATAGCTGAATCAGGTAATGTGATTTTGTTTTATAAAGCATGATTCAAGCCAAGTCAAACCCTTTCTATACAGGATTGAAACTTACATTCTTTTATAATCTGGCACTGAATGAAATATACAATTCTTTCTCATGGTACAAAATTAAGCAGACAATGCTGCACACATAAACACAGGAGCTAGAACATTTGAAACCTCATAATACTTACAACGTCAGCAGAAATGGAAAAATGCCCATGCCAAGAGAGAGTGATATTTATGTTCCCTTTTCAGTCATGCTATTCTTTTACAACAAACATTTACCTTTTCTCAGCATTTCTAGGGTCAATTCTGTTTCAAACATGGGAGGAAAAGTGGGAAGAGGAAGTTTATATTTGTTTGTTTGTCTGTATGTTTGAATTTTTTTTAAACACGTTAACAAGACATCAGCCATTAACCGCTGGAGAGAAGCAAGACAGAAACGTATGGGGGAAAAAAATGTGGCCCCCCATTCACTACTAGCATGACCTAGTGAAGGCCTCCACTTTCTTGAGGGGCCATATCTGAGATGACAGATTATTAGCCACTTGGTACACTGTATTTGAATTACTCCAGTGTTTTTTAATCATTGGAATCAATGTCATCCTCATAAACGATTTCTGTCCAGCTTCCCAACTAAGTGATGCAGAAGCGGAAATGGGCTTGCAACTCTTCCATGATATCCACTTTACACCACAATGCACTGCCATCCAAATAGTCAAAACCTATTTTTTCTCATGAGACTTAAAAGAGTTTGTTAAGATAAAGTGTTTCTCTTTCAATCAATGACCAATGTGAGCCTGATTGATCTGTACACAAAAAAAACTAATTTTCTTTCTTAGAAACAATCAGTTTGTGCACACACATTCGAACAAGAACAAAGAAATAAAAATTTCACCTGTTCCTTGGGCGGGTGTCCATATGAGACAGTACCTTCAGCTCTCCATCTTTCTGGAATCTTCCATAATCTTTTAACGAGGTGTTAGCCGGCTGAAAAAACAAGACAAGATGATCATATAAGTCCACAGATAAAAAAGAATGAGAAACAAAACAGTTATTTCATTCAGTTTTTAGGACAGTTAAGTAGTAAATAACAAAGAATAGGGCTTTTTTCACAGCCACCACCGTTAAGTTTTTATCTATTTTGCTGGGGAGGTTTTTGTGCAATAACAACTTTATTACTCGATCAGTTTAATGAGTAAATACTTGACTGTAGAAAATAATAACATAATTGGTAAATTGCAAATCTGTGAGATCTATTTTTAAAATGTTAATATAATATGTGTCGCACGTGGTGGAATCAGGCACTTGTCAATTTTGGGGCATATAAAGTTATTGATATCATCTTATAGCTTGTTCATTTGTTTTGCTGTTGATGAAAAAAGAAGTAGAGATATTTTCAATAGAAAGAGGTGGGGCCGCCTGGTGTCAGAGGAAAAATTAGCGAGAGAATGACCGGTAAAGTTTGGTGACAAGGACCGTTTGACAGTCCTTGAAAACTGTAAAATTACATTATTTATGCCTTTGTTTACTTATGTGTTTCAGTAAAATCCACACAGAAATTAATTTTTAAATCAAATTAAAAAGTGCTGAACAAAAAAAAAAAATTTTTTTCAAATTCACCAAAAATTGACAAAGGACGGAAAAATGTTGGTTTCTTCAATTTCATTATTTTGACAAACACCTGATTTCACTACGATGCCACACAAATTGTACTTGAAAACATAAGAATCTGAAATCATCCATTTCTAGTACCTTTTCTGCCAGTTATCAAACAAAATAACAACCAGAGAGAAGATAATGAACAGTCTCTTTCTTTTTCCAAATTGGCGACGAATTTGAACACATTTAAATTGCAACTGAAAAAACAAATTGTTCACCAAGAAAAAATGTAAAAACCAAAGTATAATAAATGTATGTGCCCGTATATCAATTCATAAAGACAGATTACATTGGTGAGGTCTGAAGGAGCTGAGTTTGGATTTTTGTTTGTTTGGGTTTTTTTCATATGAAGAACCTGTTGCACCTTATAACATCTCTATAAGCATTCTCAGTAAAATAATTAGAAACACCTTAAAGAAATTTCAATGTGCCAAAGACAAGAAAATAAATGCCTTTTATAACTTCCCCAAAAATGCTTTTGCAGAAGTCTCTCTTCTACAAACTCTCAAAAATAACAGTCAGCATAAAGTACCCTTTGAACAAGCTTTATTGTGCAAAGTCACCTTCAAAAAAGAGTTGCACGCCCCTCCTCCACCAACTTTACATACGCCACAGATCAGACTGAGATCAGTTTGTGGTGATCCAAATAATCAAAACCATGAATATCTCTCACAAAGTTAAATATGGTGCCGAGGAGTGACTTTTATATCTCAGGAAGCACTAGCTCAAGCTTTTAAACCAATAGAGAGGTTTGCTTTTAGGTGCCACAGGTCCTTTGAAAAGATGTTAGGAAAATGAACTCAAGTTGAATTAGCTGATATATTCTTTAGACATAACAAGATTTTTTTTGTAAAAGCAAAAAGAAAAGAAGAAAATTCTGAGGATATTTCAATAAGTGAGCCCTAGTCCTTCAACTTGTCAAAACTACTTCATGTGCACACTGGCAGTATACTTGAACATTAATTACTATGAACTTGAGTTATGGTGTACAGAATGCTTGGCACATCACCATAGAAACTACAGTACTATAACCACAGCCACTTCATTACAGTCTTCATTTTGAGTTGAAGAACAAAGCAGAATATCAACACAAAAAAACAGTCATTTGGTGACTGGTAGACAGAAACAACAGAAGCTCAGAAAGTAAGACTCACCAGTGGCACCCTTAAAACCAACCGCAATTACTGTCTTTAAATTGAAACCTTTAGTGCAAATCTATACAGATGTTGGTTGTTTTTTTTGTGTTTTTTTATTTTGCTTTCTAAATATAATATGTCTCTGATAAGACAAGAAAGACAAGATTGGCACATAAAATCCTGTACAAAGAATTTTATTAAATTGTGTAACATTGTAACATTCTTTTAAGGGTTACATTTGAGTGAAACAGGTTATCATGGGAAATATGTAGTGTAAGTCCATTGGTGTAAAAAAAAATGTTTTCTTTTCATAACAAAGAATATTATAGTCATTAATGGTGACAAAAGTAGTACTAATATGTCCATAATGGGTTGGGTTCAAAAACATTTTGAGGTTTCTTTTTTTAACAGTCATTAATTGTGACAATACTGGTATTATTGTTATTTCTGTGGTAGCTTACAAGTCCTTTACGCTTATTCTTGCTCTGGAAGTGGAATAAAAATAAAATTAGAACACAGCCTTAGGAAAACAACTATTTCCAAGTAAAAAGTTTTGTCTCGAGTTTCAAGTCCAGTATTTTTTATCATTTTCGTTTACAGAGAGCCACATCAACAAAAGCTACATTTTGCCAAGAAACATATCAGAGTAATAGAAAAGCTGAAAAGAAGTTCAAACAGCAGACTAGAACAGAGCATTGACCAACACAGCAGAGTCATTTACAAAAGTCAATACAACCCCAATCATAACACATAATGAGAAAAACAACCCTAGTGGAGATGGTTTGTTTTAGTAGAGGTTTTACGGCGTTCGCAACTGCATAAGGTCATATGAGCGCCAGAAGATCAGAGGTGTTACAAGAGAGTAACAAACATAAAAAAAGAAGGAGGGGAGATGACGACGAAAGATGTTTGATAGGAAAGAAGAAGCAAACCACACCAGAGCACCCGCCAACCACCCACCCTAGTGGAGAGACACAAAATCAAAAGACCAGCCAGCCTCGGTAAACTTGTAATCATTTCCTGCTCACTCCAAACTAAAATAAATTTAAAACTTAATCCTATTCAAAAAAAGATGCGGCACTAAAGATCTACCCAGGTAAAGTCTGCTCAACACTGCCCCCACCTTTTCCCCCAAAAGATTTCCACAAGGACAATCTTGACTATAATGACAAAATTGATGAATAAAAATAGAACACTGACATACAGCCATAGTCTCTCTTTTATTCCCATCAACAAAGTGAGTCGGGGCCCACAATAAGATCAGTCATAACAGTCAGAATTGGCCTTGCCATGTACTTTCATTTCTCCAATAGTAAAAAGAAAACGCGAACACTAAAAGCATGCTAAGTGAACAGGAAGTTTAATGCAATCAGTGGCCCTTGTTAGCCAAGATTAGAACGGTACAAGGGTTAACCCTTAAGAGTTTGGATTTTCCCTAAGTGCGTGAAAGAGGGCAAAGTTTCATTGGCTTCCACATACACCACACTTGTGCTATCATTAACAGTCTAGGGACCTTGGTTTCTGATGTTCGTTTTGGGTAAAGAGAAGTTCATCCCCAAGATAAGGGTCATTTAGGGCAGGGCAAAAGCAAGACAGACAGACAGACAGACAGAGAGACAGAGAGACAGACAGACAGACAAAGAGACATACAGACAGACAGACAGACAGACAGACAGACAGAGAGACAGAGAGACAGACAGACAGACAGACAGACAGACAGACAGACAGACAGACAGACAGACACATTGGAGAGAACTAAAAGAAATAGGACCAACCAGTGGCACCTTCCAACCACCCCGAAGGAAATATAAGAGTAATTGTAATGCAGAGAAGCAATAGTGTGTGCTACTACACCCAACAGCCTATCAAATCACTCAACCCAGGAAATAAGTTTAAAAGTACATGACCCCCAATGACGAAGAACCATAAGAAGCAAACCACACAAAAGACAAAGCTGGAGATGGGCTTTTATAAAGTTCTAGTAAGAGTTTTACGGCACTTGCAACAAAATAAGGTCATATCAGTGTGGCTGAAGTTTAGAGGTGTTACAAGAGAGTAACGGATAGAAAAAAGGAGGAGAGATGAGGGCAATAGATATTTGATACAAAAGAACAATCAAACTACACCAGAGCAACTGCCAACCACCCACTGACTTGGGATATGAATACAAACATAAAGGAGAAAAGACTACTTGATCATCTGAGCATCACCACACAAGACAAAAGATTTCGAGAACACACAAAAGTAAAAATTTCAGTTCCTTCCAAACAACAACAAAAATCAAAACAATTTACAAAAAGCACTCCTGGTAGCTAATTAAGGTATAGTATAGAAGTAAAACTATACTTTTTAAACACTTTCTATCTCAAGTTTTCCCAGTTGAATTTTTCAGAATAAGTCAGATTTTTAAAATAGGAAAGGAATCTCAAGAGAGTACTCACCATTTTCAAGTCATTAATGCTGGGAGAAAAAATAAATATATATGGTGAAAATTGTGAATTATCTCAAGAAAATCAAAACTTTTATTCCATAAATGAAAGCATTTCAGCTTTAACTAGCAATAAAACAAAAATAACCAAAAATATAGGAATTTGTTTGTGAGATAAAAGACAACAGAGTTGTAGTTTATTATCACTCTGTGCGATAACAGCCACATGTCAGCAGTCAGCAAAATATAACAGGACCAAAAAAAAAGAAGCGGGAGAGGTAGACAACCACCAAATTGCCTTCACAACCAGGTCAAATAGATTCAATTTTAAAATATTCTATTTTACACAGTCAATAAATAATCAAATATATCTAAAGTCTCAGTCCTTGACCAGATAACATAAGAGGATTAATATTTTACAGCAAGCCAGCATGATAATGCCCTTTTTTTTTCCAAAATCCGATCAAGAACATAATACAACTGAAGAAAAAACTGAAGGTGCAGACCACACAAAAGAATCCACAGACCAATCGTAGGCTTACTTTAAGAAAAGGAAGGCACATTGACATACCCATGGTAAATAAGAGCTACGAAAAAAGGGAAACAGATAGACAGAAAGAACAGAAGGACAGTAAAGAAATGGGATATACCACTGGTTTCCTCCAACCATCCATAATTTAAGATAAGTTTCTAGAAAAATAAAAGAAGTAACCTACGCACACACACACACACTCAGGCACACATACATGAGAAAAATAAAGGGAAAAACGGCACGCACGCACGCGCACACAAACACACAAATAAATAAAAAAGGTATACAGACCAAACCGACACGAAAGAATAAAGCTTGAAAGAGAAGGGAGTTCGACGTACCTGTTCTGAATTTCTTCAATGACTTGAAGCCCCTCGTGGTCCCGCTTCAGCTCATTGACATAAAGAGACAGGTCCTGGAAGTGTGTACAATAAAAAGAAAATGAAGTCATGTCCCATCTTCTTCTTCTTCGTCTTCTTCTTCTCCTCCTTCTCTCCTCCTTCTCTTCTCCTTCTTCTTTTTCTTCATCTTCTACGCTGCCTATGAGAGCTCATGGCATTACACAACAAAAACTCTCTAACAATGCACTATTCTACTTTGAAATATTTGACACCCACAACAAATAGATAACACACAAACACTTAGTTTTAGTAAGAGTTTTGTTTTAATAGAGTTTTTTTCGGTGCTCGCATCTGCATAAAGTCATATGAGCGCCAAGGGGTGAAAGTCAACAGAGAAGTCTTCACAGGGAATCAGGCTTGCCCTGCTCACCTCTCTAGCTTCAGCAGTGCAAAGTCTGCTTCGACTATCAAGGCACCCCGGAAATAGCGGGTCACATAAGAGTGACAAACATACAAAAGAAGTAGAGGAAAAAAGACAATAGTAAGGATTAGGAAAGAAAAAGCAGCAGTTCCCTGTTGCAGTTCAGGCACAGTTATGAGCATGACATTGTTGAATCAGCCCATTTACAATTCAGCTGTGCATAAGAACAAGTTAATGTCCCCCCTTTGGGAATGGCCTAAAGAGACTTCAGTGGCACTACTCCGCGGGGGGGGGGGGGGGGGGGGGGGGGGTAGTAACAGTTTTACGGCACCTGCAACACAATAAGGTCATGTAAGTGCCGAAGATTAGATGGTAAGTTTTTTCAGCGCTTGCAACTGCATAAGGTCATTGGACCGCGACCAAAGCTAAAAAGTGCTACAAGAGAGTAACAATCACAAAAAAGACAAAGGTGAGATAAAGCAGATAGATGTTTGATAGGAAAGGAGCAAACCACACCACAGCACCTGCCAACCATCCACTCAGACACAGTCACAGCATAATCACCATGGCATATAATGATAGAACAGTGCAAAACTACTTGCAGAAAATCCTGGAAGCTATCCACAGCTTCATTATACTGACATACCCTAGCATCAAATGTATATTTGTTGAGGTTAAAGAGAGCATGAATGTAATTCAAGAAAACTGAAAAGAAAGAGTAAAGAGAAAAAAAAAGGAGAAAAAAAAACCCAGTGAAGCAGTAGGAAAAAATGAAATTATAAAGAAATTAAAAAGAGAAAGAAAGTGTGAAGGATGGGACAGTTTAGTCGCAGGAGGAAACTGGAACAGAGTAAAGAAAAAGAAAGAAAAGGAGGGGGAAAAGACAAAAATATGTATAAGCCTACACGAAACAAACAAAATATGGAAATAGTGAGAACTTTAATTTTCAATGAAAAGTGAAAGAGAGAAGCAAGAAATCAGCACTAAAGGAAAAAACAGCACAAATACGAATCAGGTGTGGAGATATTTGACATCAGTTGTCACAACAATACACTTATGTGTGCCTGGAGAAAGGTCCCAGTCGTCGGAAATTTTGGAAATTGAAATAAGGGCATATTCTTGTAGAATTCAATGCTGAACATGTTCATTTTTTAATTTTTCCAATCTTTTGAGTAGTTCTAAAGATATACCAAATTTTGTCACACAGGATGTAAAAACAAAGTTTGGATTAAAAAAACACTTTCTGGCACATTTTTAACCTTTGGTGAAGTATACAACATGCTGAAAAAAATTACTAATTGAAAATATTTCGATTTAAAATAAAAAATCCGTTCAATAGGTTATTAAGAACTGGTAAAACATGTGTTTTCTGGTAGAACTACATTTTTGACCAGGTAGGGCCTCCAACATTTTTGGCCTTTTCACCCTGTTGTTCAAAAACAGCTTTGCCAACAACTGGGACCTTTTCTCCAGACAGACACACATTTATTCGCTCTTGTTTATCCAAAAAAAAAAAGAATCTCACCAGCATGGCCTCCAGGGCTTGTTCTAGACCTTCCCTTTCGTGGTTCGACTTGTCTGTTGTTTTGATGAGTTCCTATATAGGAAAGCACATGTGGATCAATTATTTTAAAGGAGAAACAGTTTCCAGCTTTCAGAGAAATGTAGTAAGAGTAGTGCAATAAACTCAAACCGACCTCCCCAGCACATATGCGGGGTATCATGGTGAATTCAGGCCCTCGTCATAAGAATGAAATCAAAGAGACAGACATTACCTCCGGTTTTGCAATTTTTGTCGAATTTTTCTACTTTGGCTAACATCTTTTATATGTCCATATAAAAAGATATTTCCACATGAATGTTACTGAAAAAGCTTGATTAATGGCACAAAATATGTAAACTTTCAGTTTTCAAGGACTCTCAAGCTACAGAAGTTAGCAAACTGGAAGCCATTTTCCCTCTAAATATACCTCAGAAATCATGCAACCCCCACTTCCTTCAATCGCAAACATCTTGACTTCTATTCCAGAAAGATGGGTATTTTTTTCACAGAACACAAGACAAATAAAGGAGCTTTGAGATTATTCAAATAACTCCATATGCCCAAAAATTGACGAGCGCCTGATTCCACCGTGTCGTAACACATACTTTTGCCATGGAAGCGAACAACCGGCAAACAGGGTTAAAGTTGGTCCACATCCAAGGAGATGAACTGAATGCCCCAGTGTATCTGATTACATTTCTCCAGTACATAAGTTTCAATATCCTTTGCCCTCTCATAAAACGCACAACTGGAAGCTGTATTCTTATCATCATTCATTCCACAGCATGTAAAATAGAGAATTTGTAACGCCTCCTTTGAAATGAAACTGATCATTTAGAAGGTCAGCTGTTTCCATCCAGTCTGCCAGGGCCAACACAAGCAGTGAAGGACACAGAATCCCAGTAAACAGACGGTGATACTTGATAAAATAACTTCCCGAAACAAACCCATGTTGTCTTCTTTGTGCGGTAGTCAAGGCTTAAGGATTCACTTGAAAATAGGAAAATTCCATATAAAGTTGAAATTGTCCTAGACATCCACCCATTGTCAAGCAGAACAAGTGGTTGTCTTAAATGGGTAGACATCTTGGAGTGTCTTTGTAATATTTTGAAAATTCCAGAGGGGAAATGGTAAGTGGCCCTTTCTACAGATGACTGTCTTGGGCTGGTGGTTGTTAGGAAAGGTTCAACTTGTTCTTGAAAGTAGCACAGGAACTAAAAGCGAAGAAACTGATATACAGACATGACGCCTGCTGAGGAAAAGTATACTTCGCCCAACAATTTCATTTCTTGCAAAAAGAATGAATGTAGTATGAGAGGCATTCCAGTCTGGTAAGTTATATAAAAAAAACTAAACATTATTCTCACATTACCCCTTCATCACCTATTGTAATGTTCTTTACAGGAGACATAAACCTATACTACAGAGCAATTAAAAGGCTACCAAAAAAGGTGATATAAAGTCACAGTGATCTTTCCTTAACTAGACAGCGCTCCACACATCACCAGAAGAATATCTTTGAAAGAGTAAATGAGGGCAGCAGGCAGGCATTCCTGTATCATAACTCATTTGAAAACAGAACATTCCTTTAATATAACCTCATCACAACCAAAAGCAATAAAATTTCTATCCTGTGATGCAAAATTAAACAGTAAAACAGAGCTATGAAAATGCCAGAACAAAACAAACAAAAAAACAACACAGAGTGAGATTCTGTTCAGATTAAATCTGAGGCTTTCGCATCACAAGGCTAATATCTTATCCTTTACCATATACGTAATCCAAAAGAGTAACGAAATAGGGCAGAATTCAGTTCAAACCCACAAGACAGCCCAACAACAAATACCTTCAGAAGGAGATGGTACTTCAACACTCGCTGCATTGGCACGTGCAGCAGATCCCTGAGGCGAAACTTTCCCTCATTAGCTTTCCTCTCACATTCCTATGACAAGGCAAACAATAAAAGAGTTAAACATTTTTTAAGTATGAGCAGAAAAATATGCTATCAACGCAAAGGGAAAGCAGGACTTGGTATATTTAAGAAAAATATACAAAACAGAAAAGATGCTTTTATGACACATCCCAGATCACTAGATCTAGCTTTTATTTTTCAAACATCAGAATTTTTACAACATTTAAATTTCATCTAACATCCCGGATAAACAGGACAAAATTCTCCAAGATCCTATGGTTTCTAATGTACAACAAAAACCAATTAAAACATCAACACATGTCTCCTCACCTACTTGGATTCATTGCAGCAAAAGTTTTCAAATGCCAGTTTCCATTGAGAAATAGTTCACAAGAATCACCTCGTGGTAGTGTTAAATACATGAGGAGCAGCCCAGGTCTATCACGCCAATACCAAAGATAATTAATTACAAAACTCTGGGACTCAAAAAAGGAGCAGTATAAATGCAGTTGTTATATTGACAGAAAAAAAACATGACTTCTTTGTTTCAATACAGAGTGAAACAACAAATCAACCCTTCATGAAATCCAGAACTCCCGATCGTTTCAAATGAAAGTAGCAACTAAAAAAAGTCAGTACACACCTGAATCGTCTGTCTGATCTGTTCTACAAAGCAGACTTTGTCAATTCGGTCTTGAGCTTTGGTCAGGTTTGAGCAAAAGTCTCCGTAGATGAGAAGTCTTGATTTGAACTGGATGAAGATGTCGGACAACCGTGGATGACCGTAGACAACAGACCGGTGCAGTTTATCATACAGGTCTGTGTGAATTTCCAGCAAGTCCTGGGGGGGGGGGGGGAGACAACTCAGCGTACAGAATGTGTTTAAAAAATGACTAAACACAAGCTTCACACAGGATCTTATATAATGCACACCAAATATCTCATCTGTAACTATAATACAAGATGATTAAAAAAGAATACGCCAAAATCATCACGCGATAATTCCAAAAACGGAAAACAATAGAAAACTCTAGCTTGGACACATGCGTTGTACATACCTTCAAGTTTTTATTTCATCTTTTACAAGTGCTTAATGTGGCCATAACCGGCATCAAGCCGATATGAGAATTCATCCCAAATGAGTCTCAGGATATCTCGGTCCACCGTGTTGATTGTAGCCGTAATTCGATCTTTTCTGTCATCTATATTTGCTGAAAGTGATGTAACATCAACTTCGTCTTTATCAAACACCCACAAAAACTGGGTAATCACTTTACTGCAAGAAAATTCAAATGACTTCATCTTTCAAGAAGACGGAGCACCGCCCCAATGGCACCTCGGGGCTCAAGCTTATCTGAATGAAATCGTGCCTCAGCAGTGGATTGGTAGGAGAGGTTCTAAAGTGAATTGGTAGGAGAGGTTCTAAAGACCTCGCTCTCTGCGCCAGGCCTGCCAGATCCTGGACCTCACTGTGAGTGACGTTTTCTTGTGGAGGTATGTTAACACTATTGACCCACGCAGCGCGCAGAGGACGCAACACTTATCCACACAGACCAGGACACAGATGCGGTACATGCTATATCACACCGTGCCTGATCGGTGTCCTGTGGGAGCAAATTGTTAAAGACAAATTAATGTTCCACCACTTCCAGCAAATATCGATGATAAAAAAGATCGAAAAACAGCTACAATCTACACGGTGGACCAAGACATCCTACACCGTGTTTGGGAGGAACTCTAATATGGGCTTGATGTTGTCCGTGCTGCCGTTGGTAGCCACATTGAGTACTGGAAAAACTTGAAAGATATGTACGACACAGGTATCAAAGCTAGAGTTTTCTATTGTTTTCCATTTTTGATATATCGCGATCTGATTTTGACCTATTCTTTTTTAATCACCCTGTATGAAGAGGTAAAAAAAACACTACAGACAAAATAAAAAATTCATAAATGCCAATGAAAGAATCAGACAGGCTTGACAAATTTTTTAAAATCAAATTACAGACGAATAATCCGTGCTCTGAATGCCCACATAAGTGTGTAAATAGCTGCAATAAAGGGTAAATTATTGTAATCTTGGTGGGCTTGTCAAGAATTTGAAATCAGTACAAACATAATGTGAGTTCATCATGAAGAAAATACTTGAAAGTCAAGCTATTGTGACCTTGAAGTGTCCACGGTAAAAATGTTTGCTTCTTGAATTACGGATAGTCTTGGAAAAATTAAAATGTAGGCCTGAAAGAACCAAGAAGAGACATCTGAATTTATTAGGTTTATTTTTAGTCAGAGTTTCCTGGCACCGCAACACAATCAGATCATAAAAGTGCCAACGGTTAGAAGTGTTATAAGAGAGTAACAAACACAAAAAAAAAGGAAAAAGGAGGAAAGATAAGAATGTGAGTTCTTTGATAAGAAAAAAGGAGCCAACCAAACACAAACCAGAGCACCAGCCAACCAACCACTCTGGATTTGTGTCGGTACCACTCCAATACAGCTTCACCAACACATGACCGACTTACCTCAACATATGCAAATATCACATCTCTTTCAGCTGAGGGAAGAATATTCTGCAGGGGTTTCATGAAACACTATGGAATAGAAAAGGGGAATGAGATAAGAATAGATAGCTCTTTCACGTGCAGCAGTGTCAACAACATAAAATCAAACTCAACAGTCCAGGCTTGGTCTAGTTTAGTTTTAGTAGGAGTTTTATATCACTTGCAGCACAAATAGGTCATATAAGCGCTGAAGATTAGAGGTGTCACTAATCAAAGAAAAGAAGGACGAGAGACAGGACAATATAATATGCTTGTTTGTTGTTTCAGTAGGTTTTACGGCGCTCGCAACAGCATAAGGTCATATGAGCGCCAGAAGATTAGAGGTGTTACAAGAGAGTAACAAACAAAAAAGAAGGAGGAGAGATAAGGACGATAGATGTTTGATAGGAAAGAAGAAGCAAACCACACCAGAGCACCCGCCAACCACCCACCAATATATGCTTGATAGGAAAAAAGGAGCAAACCACATCAGAGCACCTGCCAATCATTCACAACAGCAAAAGGCAAACTCTTCGGAGGCCACCACCAACTTATAAAGGTTTTTTACACATCATTTATATGGCAGAGATTATCCATTATCCATAATCCCTGAAAGAATATGAGAGGAATAAGAAAAAAGGGGAGAGGGGGCCCTAAGAAAAAAGGGGAAGGGGGGGGGGGGAGACAGAGAGAGAGAGAGAGAGAGAGAGAGAGAGAGAGACAGAGAGAGAGAGAGAGAGAGAGACAGAGAGAGACAGACAGAGAGAGACAGACAGAGAGAGAGTCCATGTTTTTTCTGTTTGCTACATTTGTGTAAACCTAGGCTGCAAAGAACATTCACAGTAAAGAAATTCATTGCACTTATCATCCTCATCATGATCATCATCATCAAAGGACCCAAACCTTCACTTTTTATGTTCTCTTTCAATCAAAACTTACATTGACCATATCATCGTCATCATCATCATCATCATCATCATCATCAACATCATCATCATGGCAAGACACTCATTCAATCACGACTTACATTTGACCACCACCATCATCATCTTCATCATCATAATCATCATCATCAAAATCAGAGACCCACCATGCAGAGCCAAGTACCAGCACCTGGAAGATGTGTATTCAGGGCACTCCAATAAGCGGGAACAAAATATTACATGTCCCTGGGACCAGGTTGAGCTAGCGAGACTGCGGTCGAACCATCATTGGAGATTAAGATGGTATAAGAACTTTGTAAATGAAGAGCTCAGCCCATGTTGCCGAAGATGCGGCCATGAAAAGGAGGATATCAAACATATGTTTGAATGTCCAGGAACAATGGCAATTCGAATGGAGTTATTCGGACGAGCGGAGGTGCCGCTAAGCATATTGAAAATGGAGCGGAAAAAGAGCCTCGTTCTCGCTCGAAGATTTCTTCGTGGAGTCCGCCAGGCCCATTAAGGAAACAAAAAAAAATCATCATTATCCATTACATTGACCACCATCATCCTTATCATCATCACTTACATTGACTATCATGCTCAAGACTTCTTTGTAGTTGTGTTCCGTATCCAGCAGCTCCTTGATACAGTAGTCCCTTTTGGTGTGCGGCTCTGCTGTGGCCTGAGGGGGAAACCAATCAACATTTTAGTTGTTAGTTTGTGTGTGTGTGTTTGTGTGTTCATTTGTGTGTTTGTTTGTTTGAGTGAAAAGAAGCACATGAACACAATAACCGTCATTCAGTCGGGGTTTGTTCTATGTTAACATAGTAACAGTCGTTTAGTTTTTTCTTTTTGTTTCATTTGAGTTTAGAGAAGCATATCAAGACTACAACAACAACTTTTTCTTCTGCTTCTCCTTATCATTATCATTACTAACATTATTATTGTAATTATTATTATTATTATTATTATTAT